CCGTGGCAGTAAGCCTGACTGTGACTGCGCAGTAGCGCCCGGTTCCTTTTCGAAAGAATTAAATTATATAATTCTCATATGCCATTTCAATACGACATGCGACATGTATGTATAGTTTCAATACAGTTGCGAGACAGCCGACGAAATACTGATTATCTTTTGGTCGTTTTAGAAGTAACCGGCGTATAGGTTATTATCGGTATTATAGTCTAGGTTAACTTCAAATGTCATTTTCGTGTTATCCGCATTCCGAATTTTTCTCTTCGGTTTCCTATATTTTTCTGCTACGGTTATATATCTATGCTACCGAATATTACATAGAGATGGCTATTTATTAGCATAAGAATTTTATTTAATACCGATATATATGAAACGGTTGCCTTGGCTTGTCAAGACCCGGGAAACCCTTCACTACTTTAAATAAAAAATCCCAAGAATATATGAAAATTTTTCTTGGAATAATTGAAATGAGTTACAGCTAAGCGATTTTTATACCGCATTCTTCAAAAATTATTTCTCCGACGATACCAAATTCATACGGCTAGGGCTTGTGCGAGGCGGGTAGTAAAAATCGCTCTCTAAATGTCGAATATACTCTCTCTTTAAAGAAACTTTATTCTGTTAAAATTTTCTATTTTAAATAGTAAAACGAAAGCACGAAAGTGCTAAGCATGCAATCATCGGTTCAGAGCGAACTTTAGTTATCTAATAAATCAAGCACGTACCTACGAGCTTTCTCTTAAGTGCAGATGTGCTAGTTTACTGCTTAAAAGCATTTTTCAGGCTACTTTTGAATTGTTCCCATATATTTTTTGGAAACTTTTTTCAAGATTTCTCCTAACTATCAAAGGAATTTTTTTAAATAAGAGTTATAGGAGATAAGTAGCCAGACGGATGGATAACTGAAACGATATGTGAAAACTTTTACAAGACCTTTTCATAGGGCAAAAAAAAAATAAATAAATAAATAAAGATTACAAGCTAAAATTCTAAAACTAATGCTGAACGTATTCAAAGTAGAGCAAAGATTTTCATTTTATGTCACAACAACATAAGAGTGAGAGTGAAGATGTCAGTTGACAATTATATGCATATATGTATATAGAATTTTAGGACAAGAGAAATAAAGAAAAACCTATGAAGAAACTAAGTCAGGTTATACGTACGAGCAAATATGTAAACAAACACTGCAGTATGTAGTAAACCACTTATATACAATATTAAGGAAATATGAGTCGCGGCAAGAATGTGGATGAAAAGGAAAAACAATAACAAAAAGAAAAACAAAAAAAAAAAAAAAAAAATCAAAAAGAATAAACACAAAGAAAAACATATATAGAAAATAAAATTCAGTTCAACTCGAACTTGTTGACGCCCGTCAAGTTTGCGCTTAATCTAGAGTAGAGCAACTAAGAATATTCTCTTCATTTAACCTTGATTAGCCAAATATCTTAGGAACATGAAGAAATGCCTCATCAAGTCCTTGCTTAGAGTAGAAATTTTCGAAAGAAATCCTCGAAATTTCCTTTTTTTTTTTTAATTCCTTTTTAATTCGAACACTTGTATATAGCCTTCAAAAAAAAAAATTGGGTAATCGGACAGTCGATAAGGCCATAAAAAAGACATAAAACAAAAGATTTTGCTATGGTTAGGTTGGAAAAAAACTGCAAAATGTATGGTGTATAAAAAGGCGGTGCTAATCGACTTGACAGTTTCTCGTGCGAAAGCCTTTAGCAATAATAGTTAACGTAGTTTAGTTTCTTAGCTCTTTTCGGGAGCAATTCTCAGAGATTTTTGTGAGGGAAAGAGATGATCTTTTCACTAAGTTTTCAAACAGAATTTATATCTGTAAACAACTAACAACGATCTCAAATTATGTATCGAGTGCAAAGCAAGTACTAAACTATCCAAGTGGGTACAAAATAACTGAGAGAACAATAAACAAAGTGGACAATCAAAGGAAGGTTAATAGGTGTTTGTATTAATATTTATGTTTATATTACAAAAGGATATATTATATAATTGCTTCTCTTGTAAAAGCCAAAAGTATGCGTTGGCATAAGGATGTACATATGTTCTTGACAGATTTCGATTCAATATAATAATGTCAAAAAGCGGACTATGGAAAGGAAGAAATTTCCCAGTTTCCCAAGTGCTGATGTATCAAAATTGAAGTAAATAATTTCTGAAGCATGTAAAGAGAATTTTCACATTTCCATTGCCAGGCGCGTAGTTAAATAAAACTCCACGTCCATAAGTTTATTATAAAGTATTAAATATATATATATATATGTATATAATGATTTTAATATAAAATAAATCACAATTGGATAATGAGGTAAGGCTTTGTTGCCATAGATACACTCACCTTTTCCTACTTTCATGAGAATTCCAAGAAGATGAAGGGAACGAAAATTAACCTGACGTACATAAACATTAGAAATTACACCATTTTCTGGGTCTAAAAAATGTGTCAAACCGATTCAATTTGCTTTGGCGAAAAATTTTTATTCAGTAACTTTTGTCGGGAAATGTCGAATATTTGTATTATTAATATTAGGAATAGTCATGGAAACGCTGCTCTGCCATCTATTTTGAATAAGCGTCGTGCTTGTGCCAAGCCTCGTCAACATAATAAATTTTATTAGAAGTTGTGACCTGAAAGTGGAGTAAGAATATATACACATAGACAGACCGACAGACAGACAAGCTTAATTGATTCGAAAAATGATTTTGAATACGAGATGAATTTGTCTTAAATCCTTTGGGCTGGTGTTACATATGTCCGCATAAACTTAACATACCGCATACCACAAGTAAGGTAGGTCATAATAATTTAAGATGTTTCACAGTATTTTGGGCAAAGCTTGGAGCTAATCGTGCTTTCAATAGATTACCAAGCATAATTAAATTGATCCCCCATTACTATGCATATATATGCATGCACACATATATAATATACATATATATATATATATATATATATATGATATATGTATTTACTTATTTCGATTTAGATTTCATTTCGTTTTAAAATTTTTTTCTTTTTCGCATATTTGATCTTTGGCTATACCCATATTTAGTAGATATCGATAGTTAAGCCAACAAGTTCAGATTTGTTTAATCCAAATAAATAAATATCTATTGTAGGTGAGAAAATCAAATAAATAAATGAAAAATCAATAAAAAAAAAATATATATATATATACATAAATATAACCTTTACAAGGGTATCATTTGGAGAGTTTGAAGAAATCTGATTTCTATAGATTACAGAAATATTTGTTTGTTCAATTTAATGCGCCCTCCATGGTGGATGAGTGATATGTTTGACAAACAAAAACTAGGATCTATACTTTGATCGTAAGTTACATGAACGTATGCTTTGTTCGTAACATGACTAAACAAGCGTAAGTTGATCATCAAATTAAATAATGATTTTTAACGAAAATGAAACCATATTTTTTTTTTTTTTTTTTTTTTTTTTTGATTAATTCTTATTGGAGTTTAATCTGGTTTTATAAGAAAGAAAGAAATGCTTGAAAATATTTTCAGTGTATAAATGAACTCATTGGCATGAATAAGTCAAATTGAGAGAATTAAATCGATGAAAAAGAATGCAATAGTGTTATAAGCATGTGTACCTGAACACATATTCAAGATATGTATTGAAAATATATATAACTCAAGTTTAAAAATTTATCTTATTAAACGTAAGTAGTCATTAGCTTACCGTTGTAGTGGGCAGTAAGAAATATTTCAAGCGGAAGAAGCGTACAAAAAGTAAATAAATGAAAAAGCGAAATAAAAATTGACTTTTGTTCAAATCAAACAATAATTGCATGTGTATATCAAAAAAAAAAAAAAAACAAAACAAAAACAACAACTATTATTTAAGTAAATCTTGTCAAATAAATTATTTGGATAAACGCAACTATTGTGCTCAAAGCCAAGCCCCTAGATATGTTCCTATAAACTACGCATACAATATTTACAAACACAGCTGCATGCTTCAGAGAGTAAGAAAAAAAGAAATAAAGCCCAATTCGAAAATAAACAAGAAAAATTTTTATGGATCAGATCGAATCTGTGACATACACTATCGGTGTTTGTCAATTTATGATAAAATTTTTTTTTTTATCCTACAGTATTTGTGGCATAAGAATATATTAAGTTAGTGCGAGACTAGCCTTTCACTGTACCGAGCTTATCTCTCCATCTGTCAAATTCTTGTGTTGCTACACTTATATGTCTTGGTCCAAGGACGAACGCGAACGCAAATTGTTCGGATCGCATCACTTCTTCGGCCACTTCCCGTATGAAGCCTTATTTTGAAAGTCATTACATGAAAGTCATTGTGCGCAAGCTTGTCTGTCCGTCTGTCATATTCTTGTGTTCAACATTCAGGCCGCAATTTTTGAAATATTTGGGTGATACTTGGTGCATTTATATATCTTGCTTCAGGGACGAACGTGAACGCAAATTGTTCGGATTGCATCACTTTTTCGGCCACTTCCCGTATAAAGTCTTATTCTGAACGTCATTATATGAAAGTCATTATAATAATAACTATTTTTATCTACGATGTAGGGTATCTTTACTTGTTTAAGTTTTTCTTTCCATATTAGATGATATACATTCATATTGCCTCGAAATATGTCTGCCCAGTTGCTTTGTCGATTTGGAGGTTTGGAATGATCAAAAATATATATCTAATATTTTGATGGCTCAAAATCGCATTGGCTCAATATGCATTATATATATATATATATATAGTAATATAATATATATATATGTATATGTATTTAGTTCGCTGATGGTTACCGGGCGGGAATAGTACTTGCTTTTTGATCCCGCACATTCAATTTCAAATAAATATAGTTTAAGATGATACTCGTCTACTGCTAAAGCATTTTTAAGGCAAAAAGTTTACTGGCAAAGGATACTTTTTTTCTCAATATATTCACAAAGAAGAAATGAAAACAGGGCTTAAGACTCACCGTTCTCTGCAGGTAGCGATGAATTGCGGGAACCATGCGATTTTCTTTCACTAATTGTATTCTTTGACTGCATGTTGTTTGTTTTGCGTAAAATGTCTTTCTTTACATTTAATTATTGTGTTTAATTTCATTGTAATTTTTTTACAGAATAAATTGCGTCTTTAGTTTTTATTGCTCTTACGTTTATGGCAGAATTATGCTTTATTTCATTCTATAGTTGTTTTCATTATAGTTTTCGCTTCACTCTCTTTCACGTAATAATTAATTCACTTTATTATTAGATGCAAATGTGTTAAACGAGTCCATTAGAACGAAAACTTCTATTTTCTTTTTTTATTTAGATTTCTGCGATTATTATTATTATTTTTTTTTAAACGCTCGGCATGTGCGCTTTATCTAATAACTGCTATTAGATATTAAAATTATCATTGTTCTTAGAGAGATAACTCTTCAAAGTGTAGACTCAAATCGAACGCTTTAGTCAGTTTAGTTATGAACAGTCGAACAGCCAGACACTGACATGCTAAAAATAAAATGAAATATAATAAAAAAACTAAAAGAAAGAAAAAAAAAATATTGAAAAAAAAATAATTTGTTTGTAATTAATTAGTATGACAATGTGTGTGTGTGTATATGTGCATGTCTATTTGATTTTGATTTGATTTTCATTCAATTCATTAAATGTGTGCGAATTACGACAATGACAGTAACTTTTATCATTGACATGTAGTTGTTGTAAACATGAACTGTATTACATTGTATTACATTCATTGCATTGTCGTTATGTGGATAAGGCGTTAAAAGGAAACCATAAAGTAAAAGTTATTCCTCCCATACTTTTAGCCTAAATGTGATCTCAAGTGCGGTAGAGCTACAGTGAGTCGAGTGATCAATCGGTAAGGGCGTAACACTTCCCAGTAGGCTGCGGTCTTTCTCTTTCCGCGTCATCGCGTTACGTGAAGAGGTGATATCTCCTCTATATTGAAAAGAAAAAAAAATTGTATTGGATAGGGCATTAAAGGAAAACAGTATAATCAATTCTCCTACCTATCTATTGATATTCTTTACACTTTCAGATTAAACAGTGTAAAATTTTTCGATTGAAACTTGTTTTTACGCGTTATAATCAGTCTATGATTTGATTGATGAGGAAAATATTCTACACATTTTAGGAAATGTTCCGGTAAATATGGCAACGCTAGGTATGGAGCTTGTAATTTTTATGACCATCTGGTCAAGATGTAAAGATTTACAGAAACGTGTTGAACGATAAATTTGATTTACCATAAAAATACCGTCTTGTGAGCATCATATTAAGGGTAATTTTTTTTTAAAGGTTTCTAACCGATCAAGATCAGTTTATTGGCATAAATTTTTTCAATTTTGTTTCTACACTTGTTATATCCATCACTGTAATATGGGAGTATACTCATTTTGTTTTTTTTTTTTATAAAATATATGTTACACACAAAAGGAAGCTTCGCAGACCCTAAACTATATATATTCTTGATCAGGGTGAAATTCTCAGTTGCTTTAGCCATGTCCGTCCGTCTGTGTGTTGTGTTATTGTCACTCTCCTGATCGCAAAAATTAAGATATCGGACTTCAAATTTTGGTAGAAACCTTCGACGTCACCGCACGCAGATTAGTATTGAAAATGGGCCAAATTGGTCAGAGCAGAAGCCGGCAGTGGAGCATAAACTGAAAGCAACTCCGCATTTTTTAACAACAATTTTTGGATTTTTGCTCGCTCCTCGGAAATTATAAAAGTTAAAAGGCACATTTACCTTAAGAAGCACTCTACTCCTTATGTGTAAAAGTGGAAAACATCCTCCATGTCCACACAAACTTGCAAGTGATTAAATTCAGTTTTTTTTAACTTTTTTATGCTTATTTATCATAAAGCAAATACGGCAGACTATTTAAGACTACATATATTATCTGCCTAAAAATGGGTTAATTCTACAGTGAATATGGTAGACCCTGTGACTTGGCAGATTAATTTTATCTTAAGAATACTAGCGATATGGGTGTCAAATAAAAGAATTTGGAGAGTAGAATGCGAAAAACCTGGTAGTGGGTATGCGAGATTCGATCCGAATTTTCTTCTTTGTTAATTTGTATTTGAAAAGTTAATTTGAAAAACATGGCGCACCACTACTCTCTACTTAAGATTAAAAAAAGGGAAATAAAAATGCCAAAAATTATCCAATACATATAGCGATAGAAGAAGAATTTTTCGAAAACTTCCATTAAAACTTCTATAACAACGAATCAAAAAGAGTGCTAAGTGGCGCTTGAATAGCGATTGTTGGGAGAATTGCGAGCGCTAAAAACTCATCGCAATGCAAATATAAAGTTTTGAGAAAAACGCGCTTAAACTTTTAACTAATGTTGGTCTTAAGTGCTTCTTCGCCCGAAAAACCTATTTTGCTTTTTAATCGAAGAATTTCTTATCCGTTTTCGTCGAACCGAACAGTTTGTGACAATTTGTTCTATCATCAATAATTTTATTTCAGATATCGCTATAAAGGAACTTATAATAGTGAATGGTTTTTCTTTTTTTTTTGGGTTCGTTTAAGTTGTACGCGGTTGTTCTGCGCATATGGCTTATTGGTAATTTATAAAATTTCAGTGATGATATGAGGTTCAATCTAGTTAGAAGTGAGCTTTAATTACTAGAGAATGCCTTTTCTTGTGAGTAGAGTGAATTGTCTTAGGTCTTCGTTTTTGTTTTTGAAGACAAATTTTTGTCTCTTATGAAGCCTAGAAACAAGCCTTTCTGGCCTTTGATAAAATCAGAAATAGTGGTCTCAGACATTAATGCTAAATAACCGAAGCAGTTTTCATAAAAAGTTAACCCACTTCCTTAGCTTTAAAATTAAAATTAATTCAAATTTTTCTAGAATAGTGAATTGTTTTTTTTTTAATAAAGTCTTGATAATAATTATTATTCTTTTTTATTTTCTTTCATTTTTAGATAAATATCTTCTTCGGCCTCCGCAATATCAAACGACGAACAGAGTCAATCGATAATAAACTAATATAATATTCAACACCCACGCAATGAAATACCATATATAACATGCACAAGAACAACATGTCTTTAAAAGCGATTAAAGATACTTAAAAAAATTAAAAAACAAAAAAAAAAAACATTTTTTTTTAAAACAATCATTGCTTAAAAGAAAAATAAAGTTTAACTTATTAAATAATTGAAATAAAGAAAGTAATGAAAATTGAAATTAAAAATGAACAGTCGTAGTTGATTCCATCGCAATGAAGCTTCGAGACATTTCATCATTTAATGATTTCTCCAAGAGAGGCGTGTTAACCAAATGATTAAAGTGTTTTCATAAAAACCTCAAGGAGGGGGAGGTGATGCATGAATGATTGTAATTTATTGAAAAGTTCATCAAAGTGGTCAAAGACTCGAAGAGAAGAAAGATCGGCGAACCTATTGGCAAGTTTATAGGACTACACTTTTTAATAAGTGATTCTAGTTCCAATTGGTACAGAATCTCTTGTCTACTGTCTATATCATAAAGAATCGCTTTCTTTCTTTCTTGGAGCTCTAATACGAAGTAGTATTGCACACTACACGTTGTTTCAACTCAAACCTTTGCTTTCGATTATGTTTTATTTAAATATGTTTTTGCAAAGAAAAAACATTAATACCCTATACTGATACTTGTAATGCCTGTTAAAAATGAAAAAAAAAATTGCAAACCTTTTCGATGAATGTTTTATTTTTGCTGGATTATCCTCCCATTCCGATGGGGTATTTTTCTATGCGGCAGACGAGAGTAGAGAAGTGCATCATTACCACTCGGTGGTAGTTGTAAATGAATAAAAATTTTTCGCATTTCAATGAATTTCGAGCATTCAATAATAAATTAAGTCTAATATCGCGTGTGATTGTTTTTCGAAAATACAATTAAAAAAAAAAAAAAGAAGAAGAAATTTAAAAAATTTTATGCATTGTACACTTTTGTAATATAATAATAAAATGATTAATACGCTTAATGCAAGCATTATTAAATTAATTAATTAGCTAGCAAATAACAAAAATGTATAAATATATAAATAAATAATAATCGAAAAAATTTATATTATCGGTTTGAATCGAATCTCTTAATATCGTGCACCATTACATGTCTCGGTTTCCCTTAATACCTCTTGTTCGCTAGAAAATTTCTTTAGGCACCATATGAAGGTTTGCATTGCCCCAGAAAAAATTCCTTTATTGACCTCATATCCAATATATAATATATTATATATGTGATATTTTTGTGCGAAAAAATAAAGTTTTGGTCTCTGCGCTAATGCCAACCCATCCAATATAGAATATAAATAATATTCAAAATAAATATGATATCAAGTTTTATGATTCATTTATTATTTCTGTTCGAAAAGAAAACTTTCGACCTCTGCACTAATGTCAACCCATCCGATATAAAATCTATATAATATTCAAAATCACTATCATATCGGTCTTAATCATTCATTTATTTTTGTCCGAAAAATAAAAACTTTTGTCCATGTTTTTCATTTTAAATATGTTGTTGTGGACAACAGGGATGGCGCGTACAGCTTGATAGCCGTCGAGACGCATTCCGATGTTAGATAAAGCGAAATAATAATTAAATGCATAAATAAATGTTTTAAAATAAAGGAAAATGCCAGAAAAATGTAATTAATTTGCATGAAACATAACGAATGCCGTGATGTGAAAAGAAAAACTAATGCCAATAAACTGAATCAAAATTGCAACAAAAACAGCAGTAACAACAACAATTACCACCTAGTGATTTACGCCTAACACTAACTCTATCTATCACTAGCCTATGTCGCTATATGAATATTTATTTATTTATTATTATTAATTTTTATTTTTATTTGTATTTAAAATTTTTTTTTTTGTTTTCTTTTTTTTTCGACAAATAAGTTCGTGTTTTTTTTTTTTTTGTACATAAGTTTTATAACCGAAAATGCATGCAATTTGAAGCATAAATTAATTCCATACAAAAACAAAGACCCGGCAACGTTAATATAAACTAAAACAAACTTTGCTTACCCGCCGTATGACTTTGAATTTACTGAAAAGCAAATAAAATTTCTTAAGATTTTAAAATATGGATGCTACGAAATTGTTAAATTCCAACAGTTTATCAGTTGTGAATAAACCGAAATCTTTGTTTGAATTGTCGGAGGAGATGTCATTATCAATAGCGGCAGCTTCTGCACTCCCGACACCGCCAACGTCATTTTCCACAGCACCGCCATCACCAGCAGCGAATACAGTCACACCTGTCACACCGAGGTCTCATGCAACTCATACACCGCGAGAAATACCAACCATGTATATATTGGATGCGATCTATGATGACAATGACAACTATATGACTCAACGTGAGTATAACAAATTAAATGAATTTAAATGAATTTTTACTACAAGCCTGCATTGGGAATAGCACTGAAGAGTGTATGGTTTAATTTCAAAGGCTGTTGTTCATTTAAACTAAATGATAGAAAGCTAAAAATATTATTATTTCTTGTCACCAAAATATCTGGCTGTTCGCTTGCTGAATCGTTGTTTAGTTCAAGCAACGTTAATGATATTTGATGTAATCGTCCAAATGACAATTATCTCTGGTAGGTGTGTAAGTTTGCTTCCGCTGCTTTTTTTTCGAAACTTTATTGTGAAAAATTCTTTATACATTTGCAGTTTAAAATATTGTCCGTCCTTGAGCATTATTTTTGGAATTTTTTAAAAACAATATGAATACCGTGCGGAAAGAGGGACAAGTCTTTTAAGGCCATCAACAGAGAAATCCATATTTTGATATTCTAATAAGAGTCGAAGCATCGTTCGATCAAATGACAAATCATATATTAAAACTCGTATTAATCGGAAGGAGTAACGTGTACTGATAACCGAAGCCCGAATTACCTCACATTGAAAACTCATGACATCGTGAACCATAATACACTACGTCCAGCTGTGCTCCCAAATGAGGCTACCAAGAGCATGCACGGTTTATTGTTGATGTTAAGCGGTCACCTATTCAGCAGAGGGGGGTATTCCATGTCACTCCTAAAAGCTTAGCAGGGGTATTCTTCGAATTAAGCAAAGGAAGTAAATTTTTCCCGCAAATGACGTTTTTTCGATTCAATGTCCCGAGCAACTCTGTTACATACGCTTGTTCAAATGAAGGGTTCTCAGTTTTGTCCAACATTCTACAGTGATTCTCACACTATCCCTTAGAAGTATCCATATTTTCGACATACAGTGAAGCAAAGTTCAATATCTTTGAATTGGTTTTAATAAAATTTTTGATTAAATTCAGTCACCGCCCAGAAATTTCCGGGCCTTGGTAAGATTGAAACGTTTCCTTGACAAAAGACAACTTCATTTAGCAATGTAGTTTCTGTCAAGCGTGGTACAATGAATTTAAGGCACTTCTATCCTTTTTATACTCATCGTCAAAGGATGGAAGGTTGTATTTATTTCGTCAATACGTTTGCAGCGCTCAGAAGGAAGCATCAGAGACCCCATAAAGTATTGTTGATCAGCATAAAATTGTAAATCGATTTAAACACGTCGGTCTGTCCGTCTGTGTAATGTCTGTTGTAAGCATTCTTCTGGCAAGAATGAACCCATCGACTTTAAATTCGGCAAAAACGTTGCAAGTTCATGCGCGGAGGTTCATATTGAAATTTGGAAAAATCGGTCGAAGGACACGCCCATAACACCACGTAAACTAAGAACGCCTCTATTTTCAAAAGAAATAGGAAATTGGTTTTTCGCCCTTTACTCATAAACTAAATCAGACAAATCTGTAAAATTTTGAATATACATTGTATGAGTCGTAGTTCTGTAGAACCTGTACAAAAATGTTAAAAATTGACCACGCCTGCCCAATGTTATAATGTATCAAAATTTAATTATTTTTCAATACCTAAACAAGCTTCAAAAACCCCATAAAGAATACAAATTCTCGGCCAATTTCAAATGCCAATTGGAATGCATCTAAATATGTCCGCCTGTTTGTCTGTCTGTTTGCGCAACTGTATAGTATTTGAAAATGAAGATATCGCTTACAAATTTGCAAAAGAATTTGGAAGGGACTTGTAAGTACACGCCTACAACTACACGCCCACACACGTATCCGACAAGGACTTATAATTTGAAAATAGCTTGAAAATTGAGTTCTTTTACTTTTTCTGTCTTTTTTAGGATAACGGTAAAGGGTATAAAAGATTCGCTCACGACTGAATATAATATTTTTACTTGTATTTTTAATGAATGATTCTTTCTCTCGTAAATTATGGGGACATTATGCTAAGCTGATAGGCTGTATAACTGCTAAGACAAATGGCAATTAAATGAAAAGAATTTTAATCTAAAGTCTGCAACGGTCTCACACGAACGCCACCCATGCCCACATACCATTCTGAAGTTTTATTCTTTGACGCTCTTCCAAGGCTTTATTAAACACAATATGGTATAAAGAAGTTTTAAATCATTTTTCGAATTGCGCTACCATCAGATTAATCAGGTAAAAATTCTCGATCAATTAATTGGATTATCAGAGAATCATCTTTAGTACTAGACAAGAAAAGTTCTAAACAAATGTGATAAGACGTGAATACTTATTTGAAGGCATTGAGTGATTGGAATGCAACAAAAAGTCAAAAGTATGAACAAAATTATGATTAAATATAATAGAGTTTAGATATCGATTTTCAAAAACTTTATCCGATGATCGTGTTGTTAAGTTAATTGTTCTCATTTAAAACAAGTTCTGCAAAATGAAAGTTCAATGATTCGCTTCTATTGAAAATTCATAGAGGAAATGCTATTAACTTATGGTATTAGCTTAATAGTGACTAAAAAATGTTAATATCATTCATAATTCATTCATTGTCATTAATTCGTAATATCAATAAATTAAGACGTAAATGCATTACGTCGGTATCGAATTCCTTTTTTAAAATTTGCTAACGAATGATTGTGGTTTGTCGTTGTTAATTAACACATACATGTATATTTGATGTTGAATAACATTTACACAAAATGGCTAAACCTTGACATTGATTTTACTATAATTGACAATATTCAATAAGAAAAAAAAAAGCAGAAAGAAAATCATTTACTTATAAATTAATACATTTCAACAATCAAGTGCGGTTTTGTAAAAGTGCTCTCGCTGATCGTACAGTACACAGATTTTCTTTTCAATGTTAATGGCATGTAAATATAACGATTATTTGTAATGCTTTGCAAATCAACGTTTAATACCTCTTATGTAACATTAAAAAAAAAAAAAAAAAAAAACGAATGAGAGAAGAAGAAAAATAATTACAAAATTCCATCAAAAAATTGTTGCTTTATGCTGATACTTCTGGATTCTCTAATTAAAGACAAGTCATAAATACGCTTATCATTAACGTGGGCACTGCCTGATGAGACTAATAACCAATAAATTGACAGACAGATGAGTAAATTGTTTTGATTGTTTGTTTATATGTTTATATCAATTAAAAGTTGCCGCGTACCCACTAATCCTAACGCAAGTCAAGATTGTCCCTACATTTGTAAGGATTCTTTCTCTCATTCCGTTGCGAAATAAAATTCATATTTATACCCTACACCCAGTGCAGGGTGTATTAAGTTAGTGCGGACGTATGTAACACCCAGAAGGACTTAACGTAGAGTCACTTTCTATTATGGCAATCGATTCAGAAACGTCTTCTAAATTGATCTAAGTTCATCTGTCCCTCCGATGTCTGTTCATGCACTTTTCTGTTCAAGCCGCAACTTTTCGCAACTTTTGAGATATTTTGATGAAATTTGATAGACTGGCGCACTTTGGCCCAAGGAAGAACGTTATTGGAATGGATTCTTTTCGATCACTCCCTAGGTAAGGTCCTGTATAGAAAACTGGTTATATGGAAGAAAATTTCAATTTTCAAAATTTCTCGGCTAAAGTGACTAAGTAGTTGTATTTCGGCATTCGAACGTGATGCGAAAGCTTGGGACCGGCTGGGGCAAATTTTTGGAACCTCCTCTCAGGTAATGGTCGACTTTTTCCAAACAGAATGTTTATGCTGGCCTCATAACTAAAGTGAGATTCATATCCATCCCATTCTATATATCAAGCAAAACGAGCAAATAAAGAAAGAAAAAAAACAAGGAAGCGCTACAGTTATAAATACTTATCTCACAAGTAAATGTAAAGATGCTTCGACCTACGATAGAAGCAAGTAAATTTGGGCAAGAAATCTTTTCTTTTTTTGGGATAGTAACATAGGCAGTTCTTTGGGGATTATCCAAATTTTGAAAATCGGGATATAAAGAAAAAAAAGGACAGATATGAAAAAGATTTAAAGATTATATGAATTGAAAAATTTCGAAGCAATAAAAAGTTATCTGCTTAACCAGAGCCCCAGGCGGGCGCCTAAGAGAGAGAACATGATTAATGTTTTCGATTATCTTCGAAACCATGCTTACGTGCGTAAAGAAACGATTGTTACGTTATTACGCTACGCCTGTAACGTTCTTACGATGCTCACTACCTTCATCTATTCACTAAATTATTACAAATTTCTTCTGGTAAGAGAAATTCATTCATTCGAAAAAATTCTTACGAGTTTCGGAGAATAGTAGCGATATAGAGACTGGAAAACTTTGTTTTTATTATGAGTTTTTATATATATTTGTCATGAAAATTAATTGACGAAGTCCTCAGAAATAGATTTCACTTAAATAAGAGTGATGAGATTTTAAGCCTCTCCCTCCCCTCTGAACCATTGTTTAAGTCATGTCATACGCGTCTCATAAGTTCGCTTCAATACTCATAGTCGTCATCGATATCTCCCCTTAAATAAAACGAATAATGCTTAGATGGTCGTAGAGCGCAAGAAGGAAATTATATTCCGCTTACAATGAGTCTTTTGGTTTTGAATATTTTGATTTTTGTGTTACTACAAAATTAGTACTTCATTAGATAGCACAGTTTACATTGTATAGAAGAGCGTTCAAAAAATAAGGTGAATGTTTATTTTACAAGCAGACGCGATTCGCTTATCAATGAAGATGTTTTTGTTGGATTTTGTTGAAATGCTACATATGTTATTTGTGTATGACAGAATTTTCATGGCATCCGTTTGTTAGTTTACATTTTTTCTTCAACTCATCGAGTCATCTATTGTTGTTTTGCTGATTCATAGAAGATGGAGTTTGTGTATAAGAAGCTCTGCCGTAAGAAACCTTATATTGATATCCAAAGCTCTTCCGTTATTGTCTTCTAGATTATTAGTGTGCTGCGATGACTTAAGTAGGGTAAAATCATTTTAGGCAAAAACCAACATATTTTTAATGAAATCTTATACACGCACTCAGTGAT